ATACTGCAGCTTTAACTTTTTACTCAAACGTTATGCTAATAACTTTTTCTTCTTCTTCAGTACATCACTTAGTAGATAAGTGGTTAAAAGAATAGAATTTACTTTACATTATGCATATAGAAGACGATTTGATCCGAAATGACTAATATTCAAAGGCCTACATTTGTTCCTGCATCCCCTGGGAATCAAACCCTTTGACCTTGCAAACTTTCTCTAGTAGTGAAAGGATGCAACTTCCAAAACAATTACCCACATTACAGTAGCCTTTCTGTACATGAGCTGCATTTTAAGGTTGCCATGTCCTTTCCTTCTGTACAATGCAGTGAGATGTGCAAGTATGAATTATACACACCTCAATCTTTAGGAAACACATGGATGCCAGGGACACGATAAATCTCATTGTATGTCTAAAAAGCTGACGTTTAGAGGGCTGATTCAGAACATTGTCTGGCTGTCAGCATAAAAAAAGTCTATGGTTTTAGACAAATCCGCTACTAATGAGTTCAAAGCAACACATCCCTCAAGCCCTGTTCATAATCCACTTTAAGTGTCCTTTCTCTATGTTCTTTGAGAACACAAGCAAACAATGTGCCAAACAGCCATAATACTTCATGCCGAACACCAACTAATTCTTCGAACTCTGTTCTTCATTGAAATGCTTCAACGCCTAAGAACTGAACTTAAAGTGATTTAAATGAGCTTGGTGAAGCTGTTGAGTGCATATTTTTTGAAAAACAGATTTGGAGAAATGTACACTCTAAAAAATGCTGGGTTAAAAAAGGACAAACCCAGCTATTGGGATGTTTTGAACCCAACTGCTGGATCAAAACAACCCAATAGCTGGGTTTGCCCCTTTTTAACCCAGCATTTTTTAGAGTGTAGCATTCCATCACTTGCTCAGCAATGGATGCTCTGCAGTGAATGGGTGCCGTCAGAATGAGAGTCCAAACAGCTGATAAAAACATCACAATAATCCACAAGTAATCCACACCACTCCGGTCCATCAGTTAACATCAAAACATTTTTAACTTCAAATAATTTCTTCCAGCTAAAATATGAGTCCCCTGATAACACTGCTGTCTTCATTGAAAAAGTAATCTCATCTGAATCAGAAGAGAAATATGTACAGATCAACCACCATTTACGAATGAAAACAGTCCAAAGCAGATCTAAACAAATATGTGGATGGATTTTGATGCAAGACAACAGGGGATGGACTTTTTCACTGGAGGGAGCATTTTTATTGATTATGGACTCATATTTTGGACATAAGCAAAGGGTTGACATGAAAACGATGGTCTCGATGGATTTGTTTCTTACAAACATGTAGCTCTTCACTTCACAAGATGTTAACTGATGGACTGGAGTGGTGTGGGTTACTTGTGAATTATTGTGATGTTTTTATCAGCTGTTTGGACTCTCATTCTGACGGCACCCATTCACTGCAGAGCATCCATTGCTGAGCAAGTGATGGAATGCTACATTTCTCCAAATCTGATGGTCTGAATGTTGAGTACATTTTCAGAAAATACACTTTTTTTTGTGAACTATTCCTTTAATATAAGAGCAATTTGATCTGGCATAACATGTGTGGGATCTTACCTTGCTTGACCTCGATTGAGACAGAAGCCATTTTCAAGACAAATACACCTTTGTATTGAGCTTGTTTAGTCAAAAACCTTCAGATTATTTCGTCTTGAATGAGGGGTGAAAATCAATGAAGCAAGAAAGAAATAATTAAGAACACAGAGACATTCAATACCACAGTATTTCACTCGTATTATTAAACTGTATTCACATTACAACATCCACAATGTTCAGCTTGTGACAGGTTCTAATAATCTCAATATATATATTTTTCTGTATGTTACATTATACCAAGAGGCACTTCCAGTAAGTCTGGCAATAGAGGAGCTACAGTATAGTGTCTAAATTACAAAACAGTAAAAATAAATAATGTTTATCTAAAAGACTTCTGTTGTCATCTTCATCTTTTTCTTTCCTTTTTTTTGGCTTTGTTTTTGTTTTGTTTCATTTTTAACCTGTACACAATATCGTTTTGTACAAAATGGAACAACAATCAGCAATAAAATGAATATTTCACTTTACGAATACTGGTGATTTACACAGTTCCCCTTTCTATAGGTATTGCTACATGTGTTAAGTGCAAGATATAAGTGAGAAGAAAAATAATTATTTTGTCAGTGAAGTGCCGACTATATATAAAAAAGTACAAGTCTCGTTTCTCTTTCTCAGAGAGGTGTAAAGCTTGTTTGGTTCTCGAGGTGAACGAAACGAGTGGACACATTTATCAGACGCGTACAGCTGAAGATGAAGGAACGTGCGGTGAACAGGAAATACAAAGGAAAAATATAAAAAGATCAGCTTCTTATGTGACGTGTAACCCTCTTTGTGCCTCTCATGTCGACATCCGGTGAACCTGACATGCTAGTCAAACCGTCTGCTGTCAATCAAAAAGATCTGGAAGGATGAACCAAGCTTATCAGACTAAACTTCACACACAATCTATCAGGTCATCATGCATTTCTGGAACACCTGCACAGGTATTTGAGCCGAACCTTACAGAATGTAATTTATTTCACTCCTAAGGGCATCTGCTATGTGTAAAAAAGATGAATTTAGTGAAAATGCCATTATGAACACGTCCAAACCGGTTTCTCAAGACTGGAGAATCTGGAATCAGCCAACCGATGGGAGGCACGGTGGAGGACAGGGACGCACGCATGCTGCCATGCCAACACACACACACGAGCGCATCAAACGTGTAGGATTCGCTGGCTAATTCCACAGTTTTTTCTTAAGCCTCTCTGAATACTGTCTGGGTGGAAGCAAATCTGGGTGTCTTTGATCATCAATACCAATGACCTTTGATCGTCAAAGACTCGTAGTACGGTCGCTACTGCTCTTATGCTAATCACTAGTACACTCTTAAAAATAAAGGTGCTTCAAAAGGTTCTTCAAGCGATGCCATAGAAGAACCATTTTTGGTTCCACAAAGAACCATTCAGTCAAAGGTTCTTTAAAGAACCTTTGACTGAATGGTTCTTTGTGGAACCAAAAATGGTTCTTCTATGGCATCGTGAAGCACCTTTATTTTTAAGAGTGTAATGACATAAATTTCCCAAACGGAGTGAAAGTAATATGGGCAATAGTAAGATAAAAGGGGCGGAGCTATATTGCATAATAGATTATTCCATAATGTCACATATTTCTTAGTGAAATAATTAATTTAGAGGCATTTTTCCCTCAAGATTTGATTGTAGGTTATGATTTTATTTTGGGAAATAAAACAGTTGTATAATTTAATACTTTGATGCATGATCAAATTACTACAGATCTTTAAAAGACATTTATAAGGTGATGACCTTTGACCCTTATCTATAATTCATTGTGACAATCTTTTTTATGTTTTATTATGGCAACATAAATTCAAAAAGTGACAACTACTATCTTTTATTTATTTATACATATATATATTTTTTAAAAAAGGAAATAAAAAGACTTTTTATTTGTCATTTTAGTAATTCATACACCAAAGGGTTAATATCTCTGGCCTGGGGTACATTGATTTGATCATGTATTTAGGGTGATTTTATTCCGAGGGATTTAATTGTAGGTTTTGTAGGAAATATACATTGAAAACAACTGTATAATTTAACAGTTTGATGCATGATGTCCACTACAGTTAACAGATCTTTAAAAGCCATTTTAAGGTGATAACCTTTGACCCTTATCCGTAATTCATTGCGACAATCCTTTTATATTATATGTTTTATTATGGCAACATAAAATGGCAAGCAAAAGTGATGCACCAAGACAAGTAGCAACTACTATCTCTAATTGCAATGGACAGTAACACTATCAAAAGGTGTTATTTTGGGAAAAAAGGGAATTAATATAGTATTTTTGTTTTAAAAAGGTAATAAAATACTTTTTTTTTTTTTTGTAATTTTAGTAATTCATGCACCAAAGGGTTCATATCTCTGGCCTGGGTTATAGTGAATTTGTGATGTATTTAAGGGGATTTTATTCCTCAGGATTTGATTTTAGGTTATGATAAGTTCATTTTGTTTTGGGAAATAAAACATTAAAACTATTTTATTTGTGATTTTAGTAAGTAATGCACCAAACAGTTAATAACTCTGGCCTGGGGTATGATGGTTTATTCAGGGGGATCTCACAATATACTTAGGATTTTATTGTCGGTTATGATTAAGTTAATTTTGTTTTGGGAAATACACAGTAAAGACAACTGTATAATTTAACACTCTGATGTATGATGTATGACTACAGTGGACAGATCTTTAAAAGCCATTTTTAAGTTGATAACTTTTCAACAATTCATTGCAACAATCCTTTTTATATGCTTATTATGGCAACCTAAATTCAAAATGGAAAACAAAAGTGATGCACCACATAACTACTGCTACCTTTTATTGCAGTGGACAGTAACGCTCTAAAATGCATTATCAGACTGGGAATTAATATATTTTTTCTTTAAAAAAAAGTTAATAAAAACATTAAGACTATTTTAATTTGTGATTTAATAACTCATGCACCAAAGGGTTAATATCTCCGGCCTGGGGTTACAAATCTACGACCTAAAGCAGAAATATAATATACCCTCTCAAATTGGGGCCATGTACAAATAAAAAGCACTCATACTGCATCGCAAGCACACACGGCCTTTACACGCTCCTGTTGGGGTTTCGTACTTTGGGGAGAATGGATTTGAACTTCATATTTGGCACACCCACACGTGAGCTGTGTGAGATCTACACAGTAACCAAAACAAAGTGCAATTGGAAACGCTACCAATCTGCTGTACACATAGGGTCGGTATTGCTTAAATAATTTGCCGGACTACATTGCACCACATTGCCTGGTAATATTAAGGCTTACTCTGCATTGCGATCGAAGGGGACATTTCAAAGATGAGCACGTGACCGTCGCGGCCTACCTAGGCTTTTTTAATTGGCTCTCCTTCAAAGCGACTGAAGGCGTCCGATTAGACATCGGACCCGAGGTGATTAAGCCCGCAGAAGTGTTTCATCTCGCCGTCGTGAGCAATCTGCCGCTTTCGGTAGATCAAAGGCGAGCGCGGACAGCCATGTCGACCGGTGCGCGTATCTCATGTGCAGCACATGCTCTCATGTGAGAGGGACGCCGTTCGTCGTTTCATCCCTTGGGCTGAGGAGCTGACCATAGCGGCGGCTGCGTGAGACGACCACATAACCACAGCCTTGTTCAGAGGGAAAACATGCGACTGCGGGGGAATGCGGGAGCCTGAGGCCTTCCCATCGTTCTAGTTTGCGACTTTGATCAGCCAAACTTGCTCGAGCAGTTCACTTGGCTCTCAAGCTTAGCTTAAATGCAAGAACAGAAGGAGGGAGAATAAGAGCGTCTATAGTTTCGGACGGTACAATGTTTGATGACTAGGGATGAGGCGATGTACTATTGCACGCCGTATGCATTTGTGTATATATTTATCAAATCACCTGGTAAAACAACGATTGGGCTAAAAGGCCATTGGCGTTTTGAAGAAGTTACAGTTTTAAAAAACAACAAATCAAGATCCAAAAGATTAGAAAGCTGCAAGAAAGTCTGTAAAAACCAATGACTCCTTGTACAGTTATCTGAAAACAGTCTGATCCTGAGAAACGCAAAATCTCAGCTCGTGGAATGCCGAGGGAAAAAGGTGAGGGAAGGGAATGACAAGCATTCGGCTCGACGCCTTCGGAAATGAGACAGTGGAGCAAGCGTTTGCTGTATTGATGCTCTGGAAAGGAAAAAGAAAGAGCAATGGCAGGACAGACACGCAAACACATAGTGTATCTTTTCACAAACGCATGCAGTTTCTGGAGCGTTTGCTTTCGTCCGCTGCCCACGATGGGATACGCCAACCGGCGAGAGTCACGGTGGATTGGTTTCTCGTTTCCCCGACTTTGACACTGAGCTCCTCGGAAATGCTTGTTGAGCCTGCAAAACTTCAGGTCATTGGGACCCCTGTCGCAGTATTGGAGGTTAAGGTGCAGCTGGAGAAGGACTTGCAAACTGACCAACATAAGTCTAGAAAATATTGTAAACCCCCTGGAGAACTCCTTGTCCCGGCCAATTTTAGCATCAAACCTCAAAAGTTCACCACCTGCTCATTGTTAGTCAAACCCTTCATCCCGAACCACCCCGTCCCACCCTGTTTCCTTTAGGCACATGTTCCCCAAGCATCTACAGTGTTGTGTCTAAGTGATGTGCTGGCAACCATTTCTTAGAAGTTTCGCTTGCCGATGAAAAGCTTTTAGATGACGTCATTCATTCCGGATCCTCTTTCTCATCTTCCTCTCGTTTTCCCATTAGCTCCGCGTCGTCTACTACAGTCTTCGCAGTCTCGTCCACTTCCTCTACAGTCTCGCCATCTGTTTCCTCTGTTTCATGTGTCTCGTCAGTTACAGGACTCTCCTCCTCCTCCTGGTCATCTGCAGGCTCCTCCTTGCTCCCTGGCTCCTCCTCCTCCTCATCGATGGCTAGGATTGGCTCAGGGGTGTTAGTGAGGCATGTGGACTCCTCCCCTTCTGTCTGGCTTTGGGACTCTTCAGCGATGACCTTCTTCCACATCTCGTGGTTCTCCAGCAGGTGCTGGGTGATCTGGCAGAACACTTTCCGTCGTTTCTTGGGTGCTGGTTTCTCTACAGTAAACACAGTAAAGAAAGAGAGTGTTAATGGCTTCTTCACACTAGCAGCTTTAATGAGGACTTTGATTTTTGTTTTGTAGAGAAGTATTGCATATAAAAACAAAAACATCAGTCATGCAGTGCACCTTCATTTCTTGCACATCGATCCATATATATAATATTTAATATTCATAAAAGAAATATTTGACTACTTTAAGTGATGATTTTGATTTTTGTTTTTGTAGAGAAATGTTGCATATAAAAGTAAACAAGCAATGTTTTTATTTCTTAAATACACATTTAAAGACACGTACATAATATATATAAAATAATGAAAAAAAAATCATTGAATTAAATTAATCCAAAGACATATTTGATCTTATATCTTTATCTTATATCTTTCCTGCTTAAATACACACTGATCCACATAAAAAGTAATTCATATTTCTAAAATAAATTAAATGAATGCAAAAACAATCTTATATATTTATTTTAAATATAGTAGTCAACATTTCAAGTGGATCAAACAAGTTCAACAAAGTTGTCCTAATACAAGAACGCATTTTGGTTTGAGGTTTTAAGACAACTTTGATGAAAGGTTTTGATCCACTTCAAATGTTGACAACTGTACATTATTTAGTACTGCAAATATAGTTTGTCTTAGCAGTGATTATTTTTTTGTAGAGATATGTTGCATATAAAAGTAAAGGTCTTTACTGATTAAATACCTCCGATCCACATAAATAATATTTAATATTCAAAAAAGATTTAAAAATAAAAGTAATTAAATTAAATAATAGAGGTAAAATACAAAGTAAAGAGTTAATTAGAATAATCGAATGTAAGAATAATCAGAGACCGACAAACAACTAATTTGCCTTTCAACCTAAATTCGAGTTCATATTAAAATGGAGTCAGATTGAGTTAAACATAAATTTAATAACTCTGCGCGCTGAAAAGACCGAACACGCAAGAAACCTTCATCCGCCACTGGATACCTTCCTTGGGCCATGTGCGCGGACCTTACAAAGTGAATGCAAAGACATTTTATCTTATATATTTATTTGTTAGTATTGCAAATATAGATTGTCTTATTTGACTAGCAGCTTTAAAGGTAGGGTATGTAATTTTTCAAAAACACTTTAGAAAACTGATTTGGGGCGAATAGCAAAACAAACTGGTAGCCAATCAGCAATAAGGGGTGTGTCTACTCGTGATGTGGAGGAGAGAGCTTTCAGTGCATGGGACGGACATTAGCCGAGCCGAGCGACAGAAAGATAGAGATGGCGGATAAAAAACAAAAGAGGGAATCGTCTGCGGAACGATAAGGCAAGAAGTAGGACCCGTGTAAATATGGGATCAGCTTTCCAGCGCTGGAGAGAACTCAAGGAGCGGAGGCCTGCGATCGGACGCCAAGGTTGCTTTGTTTCTTCTCAATAGGTGAGTAACACCGTGTCTACAACAGCTAAAGAAAAACATTTGAAATTTGTGTCAGCACGTCATAAATAGAACCCGGCAGCAGTTTTCTGTCGGGGATTTGTTGCGCCGCGCCGCTCATGTCCGATGTAGACACGGTGTAACATTGGTTTTGCTTTGTTTCACAGAACTAATCGTTGTCTGGGTTGTGTACGTATATGTGGGGTGGAGCTATCTAAATAGAGGCAAGACCCTTTTGGGGTAGGGGCGTGTTTGTTTTGGTGATTTCAAATATCAACATTGGCTACCAGAAATCGCTTACCCTGCCTTTAAGTGATGTCATTAGTTTTTGTTTTTGCAGAGAAATACTGCATAATTTACGTCAAATAAGTGTGTCTTGATCTACAGATTGTGAACTTCTCATACGTCACTTTGTGTTCATTTTCTGCTTCAATTCAGTTCAGTCTAAATGAGGAAAGAATCTAAAACTGAGTCCACGCTCCTACCTCAATGCAATTTGGACCAGATTTTTTACTTGATATAAAGTTTGAGGAGAAAAACGTGAACTCACGGGAAAGTTCGGAGCTGGAAGAGGTGTCTTCCTCCGGTGTGTCTTGCTCCTCCTCTTCATCTGTCTCTTCCTCAGCCTCCTCGCCCTCTTTGGGCAGAGGGTCGACCCAGTGGCCGGGCATGAGAGCGGCTGAATCGTATGAGCTGCAGAGAGGCCCCACGATGTGTGTGATAAAGGACTCCTGCAGTTTGGCCAACTGCGGTGCTGAGCGGTCCATGAAGGGGCTGATGGGAAGGCCCAAACTGGACTCTTCATCACCCTGAAACACCAGAAAGAAAAGAAAAAAAAACACTTGTAAACATATACGTGTAAAGTTCCGTTCACACCAAGAGTGATAACTATATTAGCATCCAGACCAATGCTCAATATCGTTCTGTTTACTATAATCACGTGCTGCGGTTTTGTCACCTGTTGCTTTAAATCAGGGCTGTCAAACTTCAGTGGAGGGCCGCAGCCCTGCAGAGTTTAGCTCCAACCCTGCTCCAACACAAAAAACATGTAGTTTTCAATTGAGCCTGAAGGACTTGATTAGCTGGATCAGGTGTGTTTGATTAGGGTTGGAGCTAAACTCTGCAGGGCTGTGGCCATCCAGGAATTGAGTTTGACACCCCTGCTTTAAATGCTCATGCTCTTTAAAGCAGGATGGATTCTGATTGGTTGTAAATGTTTTTATCGTTCATCAGATGGAAGAAATCATTCTGAAAGTGATTCCAATGATATCGTTTCTCTTTGTCGTTATGGTTATGGTGTGGACTTACCTATTCTTTAAGAATTTGAATGATTATTAAAACATTATAGTTATCATTATAGTTATCATCCTTGATGCGAACAGACTTTTAGGCTGCAACCTCTGCAACAGAACACTCATTTTTATGATTCAATCAATTCACAATGGACCATTTCTAATAGAAAAATCACGGTCTGCCCACATTATAGAAGTAAAATGGTTTACAAATGTTGTTTCATATTGACTAAGTGGAAAAACATTTGAAATCCTTTTTGGTTGCTATAACATGGAAGCCTGTTTCCACCACAGGATAAAACTTTTTTTTTTTTTAAAAAAGGTAAATGCCTCACAATTTTGTTTCAGAATTCAGAATTGCGAGATATAAACTCAGAATTGTGAGATTTAAATACAGAATTGCAGGACATAAACAGAAGTGCGAGACATAAACTCAGAATTGCAAGAAATAAATTCAGAATTGTGAGAAACAAAGTCTGAATTATGAGCAAAGTGATTTTTTTTTCAAATTCAGTTTAACCGAAGTCTTTGTGAAATGGTTCAGTCAGGTTTTATTTGGCAATAATAAAAGACTGTGATTATAATTTACGTGAAATAATACGCGTGTCCTGATCTACAGATTGTGATGGAAATCAAAATGGAACATTTTAACCTCACACGTCACTTTTTGTGAGATATAAACTTGGAATTGTGAGAAAAAAAGTCAGAATTCTACATTTACATCTTGCAATTCTGACTATTATTATTATTATTTTTACAGAATTGCAAGTTTAAATTCCAACAAAGTCTGAATTATGAGATAAAAGTGGCAATTACCTTTTTAATATTTTTATCCCGTGGCGGAAACAAGCTTCCATACTATAAATGAAATCTTCTGGAATCAAATGAAATCAACTGAAACTAAAATTGTCCTTTATCTGCACTTCCTTCTACAGTAGTATTTGGATGAAGAGCATCATGGGAACTGATGTCACCAGACAGCATTCCTCATATTAGCAAGCATATGAAATCAGTATCACATCGTTTCATATTAAAATTCATCCTGAGAAAAAAAAAGCATTCAGCGATGCTGCAAATATGCTTTTCATTTAGATTCATAAATGCTCCACATAGTGCAGATTAATCTGATCTGACTGATGCCTGATTCGAAGCATTTTTATTCACATTTTCAAAGAAAACTCTATTTATGCAGCAGCTATTTTATACTCATCTATTACATTAAACAAATAACGATATTACCAAGCAGGGAACAGTATGCTCAGTATATTCAAGCACAGCTGAAGAGTCACACACACTTGATTGGAATTTTCCAGTTCAGGAGAGAAACATACTTCACAGACATTCGACTGCTATAAAACTAGGTCAGCCTTCCCATGGACGGGGGAAATGCACCCAGCCACGCGAGGTCTGGCCTTTTTATTATTTATTTCAGATTACAGTATCGAAACAAGAAAGGAATCAGAGATCGGAAGAACCTCATATAGTCGGTGTGAAAACACATACTCCGCAGTACCTGGAAATAAACAATGAGATTGGCGTAACAACAGGCCAGGTCTTATGTTGCCATGGCAACCGCACGGTGATGTCGTCAGAGGGCAGTAATGTATGTGCGCTGTGTTCTGTCAGGTGCTACTCAGAAGTGCTGGAGAAATGAATCATTCAAGAAACGAAACAGGGAGGGGAGAAAACAGGCTCCTTTGAAGCATATAATTTCTGGTCCCTTTTGAAATGCGCTGAATATGGCCAGGGGTGGTCATATGACGCTTTGTAGCTCAGTGACGGGGTCCTGACACAACTGGGTCATCCTCACTCTGTGTTCCTCACAATAATAGACGCAGTGTTTTATTACTCATCGCCGGCATCCAAACAAGCCCTTAACTCTTTGAGAAACACTAACGGAAGATACCAAATCATGACTGGTTGAACAAGCATGCATGATGTACCGCAGTGGTCAATCTACTGGTTTGGCCAATATTATGCTAATAATTAATGCACTTTAATTAGGTTAAATGTAAACATTTTTAAAATAAACATGTACACAACATTTAGCATTTGAAAATAGTAAAAGTGGTATTTTATCATTGACGAGAGCAAGTGTCTTTCTTAGTATTTTTGTCTTGTTTTCCATTATATATATATATATATATATATATATATATATATATATATATATATATATATACACAAAAAATATATATA